TAATTATATATAAATTTAAATATTGACTTACCCAAAATAAGTTTCCTTCCAAAATTAAAGTCATTGTAAACTCATCTAGGGGGACTCACCCCAATTTTCACTTCTTTATTTTTATAAGAAAATCTGTGACGGGTATATTTCAATAACAACACTTTAAAAAAAATGTTATTTAGATCTAATTNCAAGTCATTGTAAACTCATCTAGGGGGACTCACCCCAATTTTCACTTCTTTATTTTTATAAGAAAATATGTGACGGGTATATTTCAATAACAACACTTTAAAAAAAATGTTATTTAGATCTAATTCACTGATATTATTTAGTGACATAATATATCATAATCATTAAATTAATAGTGATTTTTAGCAAATAGTGATATCTATCGCCAATCTAATAGTATATAATGATAAATTCACCAAATAAAGTCATTATATGAGTTCACGTAGCATTACTCCAAAAAAAATTCCGATAACATTACAAAGATTACATGTGGCGTGGGTTTATATACATGGGTTTGTGTCGGCACTAAAGCTATATTGTGCTAAGAATTAATTCGTATAGTTGAATTTGATTTGAAAATTTTGTAAACTATCAACAAAAAATAATAAAATAAAAACACTTTACATATGACAAGTCTTTTTTTGATGAAAAAGTTGAGGTATAAGACTGAATATATATATATTAGTTATTATTTGTGTCTGAAGGCATAGAATAATAAAAATGGTAATAAACATATTTGTATTCATATTTAAGATCAAATATCAAATATAAAAGAGAGATAAATAAATTTAAGCATCGGTTGTAACGGAGGTAAGAGATGGGGGGCGATAGTGATAGTGACAGGAGACGGTGATGGTTGTGGTAGGTGGTAATGACCGTGGTGACAGCAGCGACGGTAATGGTGATGGTAACAGCGGCAACAATGCTGGTAGNGATAAATAAATTTAAGCATCGGTTGTAACGGAGGTAAGAGATGGGGGGCGATAGTGGTAGTGACAGGAGACGGTGATGGTTGTGGTAGGTGGTAATAGCCGTGGTGACAGCAGCGACGGTAATGGTGATGGTAACAGCGGCAACAATGCTGGTAGCGGTAGCGGCGATAGTGGTGGTGGTGCGCTTTGAAATACCATTTTTTTTAAAGTATTTATTAGAAATAATTCATAAAAAATATTTTTAAAAAATGATTTTAAACACACTCACAAGTGTCTATTTTTTTTTTAATATTAAATTTAGGGGTGTATATATATATATATATATATATATATATATTGGAAGAGAAATGAAAATGGATTGGACTTGCTGATTCAGCTTAGCAAGACAGACGAACAGCAGCCTCTCAATCGTCATGGGTCATTTATCAGTCGAATTGCAACATTACGACATCAGTGACGAAAAATGAGGGTGGTGCTGAAAGCAAATAATATAATATTACATTATTTATATCTTCTAAAGCAGAAACCAAAGACGACTTTAATCTTGGACCCGGTGGCTAATTTGCCACTAAAAAGGGTTTATTATATCAAAAACAACTGAGTATGTATGTACATTTTTCACGATACATAATTTGAATATGTGGGTTCGAATAATCGAATTAAATTCGAATCATTCTTCTAATCATCAAATTAAAAGTTAAAATAGTTAAAACTTAATTTAAATTCAATACGTCGAGAGCAATCTTATTGTCAAATTATCTTTGACACGTGATATCGTCAATTAATTAAAAAATATAAAAAAAGATTCATCAGTCTTATTTGATGTTTTAGAATTAGATTATGATATCACGTATTAATAATAAAATGTTATGAGTATTGTATTTGATATTTATGCCTATTCAGCGTGGCAAAGGCCTTGAAGTTGGAGATAAGGGTTTTTTTTTTTTGGGAAAGAACCATGACATTATTGTAAGACAAACAGACCCCTGAGGTAATGTCATTACAAGACGGAGAGAAATGGAAATTTGGGGGAAGGAAAAAAAAAAGAAAAAAGAAAAAGTCATTCAAGATAAATATTAAATGGAGGAGAGTGGAATGGAAGGAAAGTGGATGGGACTTGCCGCATCAGCTCTCCATAATCCAATCCCTTGAGAACCAACACCATTACGCATGCAGTGATGACAATGATGCTGACAGCAATTTATTTTACACCTTTGCAAGAACCATGAAACTCTTAGCTTTGGGCCTGGTCATTTAATAAAATATTTATAAAAACGCTGATATTGTCATGCAGTATTAATAGTGTTCAAAATTAATTATAAAAAAGATTTGAGTGAAGTCCATCGAATGTGTGGGTATCTAAAAGAACGTGAGTGTGAAGGTATATATTATACGTATTCTCTAAGAGGAAGATAAAATATGAATGATTTATCTTAGTTGAGGAGTTAAGATTCCGTCCGCTGCAAAGAAACTCTTATTCTTTGGAGATTATATTGCTTAGAGAAAAAAAGTTGTTATTACGTGATGTTTTGCTTGAAGCCTTTACAAGACATTACTTAGATTTTGCTTGGTGGCTTACAGAATGACTCTCTTATACACTATAGTCCTGTTGACTATTTATACATCTGGTAATTAAGATTTCGTGTTTGTCCTTTTTGCTTGATTATATGGTGCTTTTTGTTTTTGTTTTTATCCCGGTGTTATGGTTCTCAAAACTTTTTTGAATTCACTACTATTGATCTGTTTTTATCACCCGTGAGTTTTTGTTTACCAGAGCTGTCAAGTAATGTTCATTTATCCTTTGTCCACGTATTTGNTTTTGGAGATTATATTGCTTAGAGAAAAAAAGTTGTTATTACATGATGTTTTGCTTGAAGCCTTTACAAGACATTACTCAGATTTTGCTTGGTGGCTTACAGAATGACTCTCTTATACACTATAGTCCTGTTGACTATTTATACATCTGGTAATTAAGATTTCGTGTTTGTCCTTTTTGCTTGATTATATGGTGCTTTTTGTTTTTGTTTTTATCCCGGTGTTATGGTTCTCAAAACTTTTTTGAATTCACTACTATTGATCTGTTTTTATCACCCGTGAGTTTTTGTTTACCAGAGCTGTCAAGTAATGTTCATTTATCCTTTGTCCACGTATTTGATCCGTCTTTACTATTTGCGATTTTTTGTTCATTAGAGCCATCAAGTAATGTTCTCTTGTCCCCTTTCCACGTGTCACGTTGCAGCTTTTATATATTGGCTTTTGTGTCGAACTTCTGAGTTCCGAGCTTGTTATTGCATCGGACTTATTACTCCGAATTTCTCTGCAACCTGTCTACAGCCCAATTCATGCTCAAGAGAGTTCGTTTAGGCGAATTGCTTCAACTGCTTTCTTCAAGCTCAGAAGATCATGGACTCTAAAAAGAGTTAGACTTAAACCAATCATTATTAGATATCATAAATCACTAATATGTAAACAAATTAAAAAATAAACCCCAAATAATTACTAGTCCTCATTACTCTAAATTCTGAAGTATTATGTTCCCGCACCCGCTTTCTCTTAAAAGCTATGTATTCTAATATTCTAATTCTAATGCTCTATTTGGTATGATAGAAAAATAGAAGGATAGAAAGTTGGAAGGAAGAAAAGTTTGAGGGATAAATACAACATCATCTTTGATAAGGAAGGGAAATAGAAATGATAGAAAAGTGAATGAATTAATTTTCTTTCTAATTCACCAAAATCAATCCCTTCAAAATCTAAAAAAAAACAGATGAAAAATTAATTATTTGTGTTGAAAGGTATCTTATTTATCTATATATATTTTAATATATACATATATTATGTATACATTAATTTCATATAAAAATACAATGATAAAATATGTATATATATATATATATATATATATTTTAAATTAAAAAAAAATAGTTTTTCCATCTTAACTATGAGTGAAAATTTTTGACTCAATATGATGACACGACTCGAATTCGACACGAATTTTATGACACAAATTTTATTATAACTCGATATAAACTTAAAAATGTCATGATACGCGAACAAGAAATATAAAAGGTTAATATTCAGTTCAATCAGTTAAACTCAAAAATTGATACCATCAACCCGTTTATTTAAAAATAAATATTTTTTCTATTTTCTTGTTTGTATGATAATACAAAATTAACACGAAATTAACATGTTTAACTAATATAATGGACATATAATGTTAATTCTTTGTAACTATTTATTAAACACTGACATATTTATTATATAAAAAATATATTTTTACTTATTATTATAATATTTATTTAAGTTAATTTTTAATTTATAGAAAAAATATAAACATGGATTCAATTAAGTGAAAATAGAATATTAGTGTTAAATTTTTTATTCAAAATTTATGTGGGTCAACACGAATACGATACAAAAATGATCAGGTCAATTCCCAACTCAACACGATATTATTAGTTAAATGAATTAAATTAAGTTTAACTAATATTTGACATAAATCTATAATGACTCAATACGAATATGACACGACACGACTTGATTGTCACACATAATGTTAGCCTACAAAAAAAATAATAATAATAATAATTTTTTTTTTCATCCATCAAACCAATCACAAATATATATATATATATATCATTCTTATTCTCCTTTCTTGAAGAATATAAAATACATTTCTATTTTTCTTACCAAACCGGAGTCCAATTTTCCTAACTAGTAATTTGAAAAATCATCTTCTAGACGCGGGATTCAATTTTCCTATCAATGACTTAAAGAAACAATCAAAATCTTTTATCAACCACTTCGTGGCAACCACCCAAACCCCTATTGACCGGATCAAATTCTATAAAACTTCTCTCATAAGTTTTGACCAGTTTAGTCCCACCGGTGGGTAGTCGGCTTCCCCAGTAATAAAAGAAAATATTGACTGAAACAACGACAGCACAAGAACGATGCCTATTACCAGACAACACCCTAAATAAAAAAAAGGGTACAAGAACGGGGGAAACGTGAGCCACAAAGAACTTAGTTCCAGACAAATTCACTGCCAAGATTATTAAACAATTGATTGTTCATTATGTATGGGAATCAATTACACCAACAATTTAATCAAAGAACTCAAGATCCATTTTAAAGTTGATCCATTCATATGGCTAAACAACATAGAAACTGTAAATTGAAATGGAAATTTGAACAAAAATTGATAAAACATTCCCTCTTGAAGATATATATATATATATATACGGACTCAATTGAGGACATACTTTGGTAGCAGATGTTCAGCCAGTTTACAGTTGTTCGTGTGTTAGACTAACAGGAACGGCCAACCATAAACTTTCAGTTGAATCCAAGGTCAAATATATCATTTCTTTGCCTTCGCATCCGAGCTCCCCATGACATCACATTCCCTCTTGAATGTTTGTTCATACTCCTTCGCTTCAGCTCCATCAGTTGAGACTGCCACACATTCTTCCACTCGCCCCCCTCATAGGACCTCTGTTTCAATACAAGTTTCAAAATCAGCACAAGATTGGTATTTTAAAAACAGATGTAATCATAAACCATAATCCATATGCAAAATAGCTGTATGTTCCTAGCCAAAAAAAAAAGGGGGGAAAAGTGGGCCAAATGACAGAGAACTGGGACTTTCAACCAGGAAAACAGAGCATTCCAATAATGAAAAAAAAAATGCAGCACTGATTGGACTCGCTCGACCTCAATGGCTGATCACCATGACTTAAACCCAATTAGAACATATCTCAAAGACCAGAATGACTAGTCTTTTAACAGGTGTGGAAAGAAATTGAATTTGAAATCTTTGAGTTATTAAAGGCAAGACTCAACCTTTGACCACCCCTAAGGGTTTTAAATGCAGCCCTGATTTTGTTTTCATGGAAGGAAATCCAAATTTTCACTTTAAATCAAATTTGGACTAACCAAAAACTTCAACATTAGACCACAACTTTTCAATTGAAACTACAGAGAGAGAGAGAGAGAGAGAGAGAGAGAGAGAGAGAGAGAGAGATACCTGATCATATTGGCCGCGCCTTCTGCCGGAGAAAGCCAGGTGCAAACCCTTAGCCAAATCGCTATCATACAAAGCCCTAGTTTGGGGGTCAGAAAGGGTCTCATACGCCTCCTGAACCCTAATAAACCTCTGTGTGTACTCCTCCGTACGGTCCGGCGGTGACACGTCCGGGTGGTACTTTCTCGCCAATTGCTTGTAAGCTTTCTTAATCTCCAATAAATTCCCACTCTCCGGTATACCCAACAAGTCATAGAAACTCTCCGTCGTCTTCTCCGGCGAGTAAACGGCGTTAATTGACGCCCTTGTTCTGCTCCTGTATGACCCGGATGGAGATCTAAACGAAAGGTTTGGTTTTGAGAAGTGGGTATTGCAGGAAAGGTGAGAACAAGGCTCAAGCATTGATCTTTTTGTTGGATTGTAGGGCTTTGAGCAAAGAGAGAAGCCAGGTGCGCCTCCAGAGATCACTTTGGAGCTCATTGCCTTGCTTTTTTCGAGTCTGTTTGAGTGCTGAGTCTTTTCTTTTTTCTCTGTTGTGTTTGTGTGTGTCGATGTTGGGTATATATATGGAAGATGCGTTCTTCATATTTTACTGTTTGATGGAATGACTGGAAGTTTCTATGAGCTTTTACATAAAGCCACATGGCCGGTTTTGTGCTTTTCTGTGGGTATAAAATGGGTTTCAGAAGACGGTCATATGCATTTAGATATAACCGTAAATGTGGTCTTAGCCGGCTCCAGTTCAGATTAGTCGGCTGTAGTGATTTTCCGGTGCTCCAATTCAGATTAGTCGGCTGCAGTGATTTTCGGATATTGACAAAAAAAAATATGCATTTAGATCAATAAATAAATAAATAAATAATCAGTCAAAAGATCTGATGTTAATATAAGAGTTGATAAAACAAAAATGTTTGTATTTAAAGTTTAAAACGAGCATCAAATTAAAATCTAAAATGACTTTTGACGGAACTTTAGGTGGTTCAGTGACTCTTAAATTAACACGTGGATTAATACAACTGTTATAAAAATTCAAAAGGTGCCGAGGAATAATGGTTCGAAGGAGTTGGGTACACTTGTTGCACCAGCATTTAAGAAGACATGACAGTTCATTAATGAGATGTGAGTGACTAAGACAGGACTATTAATGAGTTCCTGTATTCTCGAGACCCAAAAGTAGTAGTCATGATGGTGAAATATTAATGACTATTCTGTCGAGTATGTTCGTTTGGCGTGCATTGAATGACTATTCCCCAAAGATTGAAAGCTCTAGAATAAGTGTCAGGTGCCTATTAAAGGAACTTGATTGTCTTGAGGATAGCCATAATTGCTCAACTTAACCCTGAGCACTTGTCTTGTCATCCGATCATTAAAGGCATAAGGATATGAGCGAAGAACATTTATTACGCATAGAAATGAGTGCAGATCATTAAATGTCAAGATGAGACTGTCTATCCTGATACTCATTACTAATCTAAATATAAATACCCATCAAAAAAATAAACCAAAGTACGCAAGACAAAACTGAGAGAAAAGAAACACTGTTTTTAGCCTCCAAATTTATACTGATTTAAATTTTGGAGAGGATAAGTCGGGTTTTCACCCGGCCTCTTTTTTTTTGACCTTGTGATTGTTTCAAGTTTACTATCATGAGGATTGCTATCTCAATTTATTACAGGAAATCTCCCGTACAAATTCTATAATTTTATTTTGGTCAATTAAAATGAACTTCAAATTTTAATCCCAATATCAAACAAAAATTTGATCCCACAAAACAAAAGTTAAGGCAAAGAATTATTTAGTTAGCATCACGAGAATAGGGCGACACCATTTTTTTTTCCCTTCAATTTGATTCTATTTTTTTTTTATCATCTAAGTTTGACTATTGTAATTTTGTCTTATTTTTTGAGTTAATGGTAATCACTAAATCAAAATAACACAATATTTTTCAATTATGCTCATAAATTTGTAAATTACACAAATCAGAAAGTAACTAATTCGAGAGTAACTCAACTGGTAATAAAAATAAGTTGTAAATTCTTGTGCCGACTACATTCTCAAACTTAACAGTTAATCACTTTAACTTGAGTCGTTAAAGAGTATGTCTTTAGAGTAATAAGGGTGACTAACTTTTAAAGGATCTGAAAAGAAATTAAACTTAAAATCTCTAAATTGCTAAACATCATATTCAATCATTAAAACCGCTTTAAAAAATTGATTAAGATTTCGATTTACACGAGTATAATAAGGGAATTTGTTCATCCGGAAGTCCAATCTTGAGGATAAGACCTATAAATGTTTTTTGTACATTTTTGTTGGGGTGCCTGAGGTGGCGCAATCTAGACAGCCTCGTATTTTCCATTTGGATGACGTGTCATTGCTGGTCAGTATTAAATGGGACAAATTACCAATCAAAATATTGTGAGGAATTAGATTATTAAATATATATATATATTTTTTGATATTTCAACTACCCCAATAAATCACTATATTATTTCTCTGCTCACGTACCGAATTAATATTGGATTTTATACAAAATAGCCTCTCCACACAAGGGTGTAAACTATGACGATGGCTCAAAAGGACTCTGTTTTGTGAAATGTTTGAACCCCTAATCTATCTTTTATGAAAAATTTATTAGGTGACTAAGCTACCATTGGACTAATTCTTTCGGGTTAGTCTAAATAAAATTATTAAAATAAAATTTACCAATTTTGATTCAAATGAAGCAAAATAGAAAGTTTATAACCGAGTGATATTACCTTCAACATGCTGTCTCTCCTTTTGAGTGTTTTTTTTTTTTTTATAGAAGTGTTAGAGTTTGCCATTTGATAAAAAAAAAATGAACCTAAATGCATGTTAACCTAGTTGTCGGTCCATGGTATCTGGCAAATAACTTGGACCAATCTCAGTGTTATTTTTTTTCATTAAGTGCTTGGATTTTCAAATTATGATCACTCGCTTCCTGAATCTATGTTGGCATATTATATAGGAAGATGACGATGCAAAGAATGATACGCAAAGTCCACGAGGGGGTGCACCGACGGAATAGAAGCGTACTGATTTGGATATTTCTCCTACTGCCGCTCGAGAATGTTCCAAGCCTAAAGTAATAAGTGTCAATGAGATTTTTTTTTTATTTTTAATAATATTTGTATTTTAATTTAAACTTTACTAAAATATATTTAAAATTATGCTAACATCTTTTTTGATTTAATAGTATGACTTTTGAGTTTTGATCACATTTTGATAGGATTATAATTTATTGCCTCATTAATATTTATCGAAATTGTGGTATTACATTATTGACTACTATTATAAATATATTCATTACTATCTTTTTGTTAAATTATTCTATTACCTTCAAAAAATTTAGGTTTTTTTACTTGTCGACCCAACACTGTTCTACTATTAAAGTATTACATATATTCAAAACCATTTTATATTAACAATACTTAAATGTAATCAGTTGAGTAATGTTACTTAGATTTAAATTATAATTTATTGACATAATTTATTATAACAGTTAGATTAACAATAAGTCTTAATATTGAAAATGACCTATTATTAGTTCAATATTTTTAGTGAATTAAGTCCATAAATTATGTCTGAATTACAATATTATCATCCGAGTAGTTGCTTTGTTCACATGTCCATTAATTATTAGGCATTATTTTTATGTGTGGGCGTGTTTAGTTTACTCCAAATCAAAAATGGAATCACTAAAGGACTCTCAACCGTCCTAATGGTATGGGTCGGGGTAGGACCACAAATGAGTTGGGTTAGTTGCTCCGATTGCTTAAGCTTTTAATCCTAAATTATAACCCAAGTTCCAAATTAATTGATCTAGTCGGTCTTAAAACGTAGAATGGAATTCAAACAACATTTAGTGCCAAAAACACAGCCCAACTATTCGGATAGACGTCTGTGCGTGCAAGATCCTGCACAATATAAAAAACGAGAACAGATCTCTCCCTTGGTGAACTCGAGTGAGCCGGTTGAGTGACCAAACACGCTGTTTGGGACAGCCTGCAAGGTACGGTGGTAACTTGGAACGGCAATGGGAGATCCTGGGAACAGAAGAACGATCTAGTGAGGCTGAAAGAGGTTCCTGGAACAAAGAAGAACAAGTTAGAAGGGCGCCGGAGTGTTTTTCGGCGTATCCCCTCCGACGATCTAGTCAGTCTTTTGGAAAGAGAGAGGAATGAGAAAGCACTGAGAATGTATTGTAGTAGAGAGTTTGTTGTTGCATACCCGTTTTGCCTTTTGCAAGGAGTATTTATACCTTAAAATCTCATGATTGCTGTCAGTGTGGTCAGTAGGTGATCATTAGGCACAGGTAGCGTGCGCATTGATTCTGATGAGGAATGTCTTCTCTAATTAACTGCTCGGGGTCCCGAGCAATCAATGCTGGGTCATCGGGATGCCGACGGTACAATGTGCTCCTCTCGGGGAGGATGCAATAAATGCTCTGTATTAGGAGCATTTATTGTCTTTCATTTCCGAACCTTACCACATTGAATGCGGTCTCATCAAGGGAATGGTGCAATTAATTGTTTGCTTTCCCAAGTCGCGTGTCAGCAACGACATGCGGTTTGTCTGTCTTTGATATGATATCATATGCCACGCGTCCATCCCCTATTGACTGTGACCTCTGTATTCCAGTACGTTCTGACATTACTTGTGTAAGACGAGGTCATGATGAATAGCCTAGATTAGCCTAGGCTAATGACCTGTACGTCAATAACTTATCCTGGAGTAGAGGAAGCGTCTAGGACGGGGTACCTCTCGGCACCGAGGAAAGGCTCATCTCGGGGACCGAGAGAGGTATGCCGACCGAGGTACATATCAGACCGAGGCCACGTGTCGGTTGTAAAATATACTGAATGTATGATCCTATATGACGGTACCTCGGGGGCGAGGACATTCGTGCGCCGATGGTGCTTGATCTTAGCAACAGTGTTTTAGTAAAACCGAGGACACGTGTCTTCATCATAGGGTATTTCAGAAAAGTCCCATCAGATGCCCCCCAGCCTTCGATCTTCTGACACCGAGGACACGCGTCGTAAGGAGACGAAGGGTTTCCCAACAACCACCAGTACTTCATCATTGTCTCGAGCCGCTTTCCCCGGCTTGGGATGTCGTGCGCATTAAATGCGCCGTTTCGTTTTTCGCGCCCAATGATGAAAATTGCCTCTATATAAAGGGGGCTCCTCTTCCGTTTTTCTCGTTTTGCCATTTCGAACTTCCTCAAGAGAGCCTCTTCTTAAACCTTCGCCGGAGTTTTGTTTCTTCTTCCATCGTCGACTGCCCATTCTTCCTTAAAATCTTAAAGCCAGCAGACCCATCGTTGATTCTGAACTTTCTGGAGGGAGTCGCTTTAAGGTTTTCCAGAAAAAACTCCGTTTTGACATTCGGGTGAGTTTCAGAATCCTCTTTCTTTTCTTCCTCCTAGCTTTTTGTTTTCCGATTGACTGGAGGTGTCATCCGGTTGATACATAGCGATTTAACCCTCGGGAAATTTCCTCAGGGATTTTCAAGAATAAATACCCTATTCTTTCTTACTTTTTTAGAGATGCCTCGTCGTCGCTCTGCTCCCGAGAATCCTCAGGCTAGTCCTTCGGGGTTGGGGAAATATAAAGTGAAGAGTGATGAGCAGATTGATAGGTTTAAGGTCAAGTACGGCATTCCCCCGTGCGTAGACNTATATATATATATATATATATATATATTGGAAGAGAAATGAAAATGGATTGGACTTGCTGATTCAGCTTAGCAAGACAGACGAACAGCAGCCTCTCAATCGTCATGGGTCATTTATCAGTCGAATTGCAACATTACGACATCAGTGACGAAAAATGAGGGTGGTGCTGAAAGCAAATAATATAATATTACATTATTTATATCTTCTAAAGCAGAAACCAAAGACGACTTTAATCTTGGACCCGGTGGCTAATTTGCCACTAAAAAGGGTTTATTATATCAAAAACAACTGAGTATGTATGTACATTTTTCACGATACATAATTTGAATATGTGGGTTCGAATAATCGAATTAAATTCGAATCATTCTTCTAATCATCAAATTAAAAGTTAAAATAGTTAAAACTTAATTTAAATTCAATACGTCGAGAGCAATCTTATTGTCAAATTATCTTTGACACGTGATATCGTCAATTAATTAAAAAATATAAAAAAAGATTCATCAGTCTTATTTGATGTTTTAGAATTAGATTATGATATCACGTATTAATAATAAAATGTTATGAGTATTGTATTTGATATTTATGCCTATTCAGCGTGGCAAAGGCCTTGAAGTTGGAGATAAGGGTTTTTTTTTTTTGGGAAAGAACCATGACATTATTGTAAGACAAACAGACCCCTGAGGTAATGTCATTACAAGACGGAGAGAAATGGAAATTTGGGGGAAGGAAAAAAAAAAGAAAAAAGAAAAAGTCATTCAAGATAAATATTAAATGGAGGAGAGTGGAATGGAAGGAAAGTGGATGGGACTTGCCGCATCAGCTCTCCATAATCCAATCCCTCGAGAACCAACACCATTACGCATGCAGTGATGACAATGATGCTGACAGCAATTTATTTTACACCTTTGCAAGAACCATGAAACTCTTAGCTTTGGGCCTGGTCATTTAATAAAATATTTATAAAAACGCTGATATTGTCATGCAGTATTAATAGTGTTCAAAATTAATTATAAAAAAGATTTGAGTGAAGTCCATCGAATGTGTGGGTATCTAAAAGAACGTGAGTGTGAAGGTATATATTATACGTATTCTCTAAGAGGAAGATAAAATATGAATGATTTATCTTAGTTGAGGAGTTAAGATTCCGTCCGCTGCAAAGAAACTCTTATTCTTTGGAGATTATATTGCTTAGAGAAAAAAAGTTGTTATTACGTGATGTTTTGCTTGAAGCCTTTACAAGACATTACTTAGATTTTGCTTGGTGGCTTACAGAATGACTCTCTTATACACTATAGTCCTGTTGACTATTTATACATCTGGTAATTAAGATTTCGTGTTTGTCCTTTTTGCTTGATTATATGGTGCTTTTTGTTTTTGTTTTTATCCCGGTGTTATGGTTCTCAAAACTTTTTTGAATTCACTACTATTGATCTGTTTTTATCACCCGTGAGTTTTTGTTTACCAGAGCTGTCAAGTAATGTTCATTTATCCTTTGTCCACGTATTTGATCCGTCTTTACTATTTGCGATTTTTTGTTCATTAGAGCCATCAAGTAATGTTCTCTTGTCCCCTTTCCACGTGTCACGTTGCAGCTTTTATATATTGGCTTTTGTGTCGAACTTCTGAGTTCCGAGCTTGTTATTGCATCGGACTTATTACTCCGAATTTCTCTGCAACCTGTCTACAGCCCAATTCATGCTCAAGAGAGTTCGTTTAGGCGAATTGCTTCAACTGCTTTCTTCAAGCTCAGAAGATCATGGACTCTAAAAAGAGTTAGACTTAAACCAATCATTATTAGATATCATAAATCACTAATATGTAAACAAATTAAAAAATAAACCCCAAATAATTACTAGTCCTCATTACTCTAAATTCTGAAGTATTATGTTCCCGCACCCGCTTTCTCTTAAAAGCTATGTATTCTAATATTCTAATTCTAATGCTCTATTTGGTATGATAGAAAAATAGAAGGATAGAAAGTTGGAAGGAAGAAAAGTTTGAGGGATAAATACAACATCATCTTTGATAAGGAAGGGAAATAGAAATGATAGAAAAGTGAATGAATTAATTTTCTTTCTAATTCACCAAAATCAATCCCTTCAAAATCTAAAAAAAAACAGATGAAAAATTAATTATTTGTGTTGAAAGGTATCTTATTTATCTATATATATTTTAATATATACATATATTATGTATACATTAATTTCATATAAAAATACAATGATAAAATATGTATATATATATATATATATATATATTT